GAGCTCTGTCTACAATGTTTTGGGTAGGGCCTTCAGTCTTCCTTTTTGTGGAGGGCCTTTGGCTCTCTTTACCTCCTTTTTTACGGGGTGGTCAGGATATTTCAGGAGATTCCATTGCTGGCAGTGGAATTATCCCCCACTGCGAGCTCTCTCTGAGTTAAAGCCAAAGTTTAGTGGTCTGATCTGACATCGCTGGAAATTTGAGGAGGTGTCAGCCCTGAGCAGGCAGGAGGGATACTCACTCCAAGAGGGCAAAGCCTGGGCTGGGCTGCCTGGTCTGGCACCGAACACAGCTTGTGGCTGCGGTGCACGGGGTCGATCCCTGGTCCATTATGCACACAGCAGAGACAGCGCTTGGAAGTTAAGAGAGCAGCAGCAGGCAGGTGGTACTTAGCGAGACTTAGCGAGATTCCCGATAGCTGCTGTGCACTGGGCAGAGTTGTCCTTCCACTTCCCTATGGCTGTCTGATGCATTCTGACTTGCTGTCATTTGCTGTGCTGCAGAGGCTTTCCAGCGGGCTCGGCGTCGGATGCAGGAGGCCCGTGAGAGCCTCCCCCAGGACCTCATCAGCACCTCTGCCTCCAGCATGCAGCGGCCACAGGAACCCAGACTGACAGACAGACAAACTGACAGCCTCTGCTCCACGGCTGGGCAGCCCACACCTCTCTGACGGACCTCCCAGCGCCCTGCCCTGAAGGTCTTTGCAGCCCTTCCTTTGCAGCTCTCTGGACGTGGGCAGCAGTCTGTAGCCCATCTGTTCTGAGAGTTGTTGTGTTTCCACAGGTATGCTGTTGTTTCGAGGCATTTTGTTACCAGGCCCTAATGATAGAGCCAGTTGTTCATGTTTCTGCTGAGCAGACTGAAATACTTACATGAGACCTGTGAGCTTTTTGAATACTGAATTGTAAATGATCAGAAGAATTTCAAATCTACTTGACTTGATAGATTTACTTCTTAAAGAAGAGAGTGATGTTGAAGGTCATACGAATGTTGTTTGAGATTTAATTAAATGAGTAGTTAATGATAGAGCATCTGTAGCTCTAGGTCAGATTTCAGTAAAATCTGACCACCTGTGATTTAAGACTGGTTCATTCCTTGAGAAAGAGAGGGCCCTCATCACATGGAAACCAAAGCAAAGAAGTTACGTGTGACGGAGTCCAGACTGGAGGAAAGGGTTACGTTCTGTATTTCTTTGTGTCTGTGGAATTTCTGGCTCTTCTATCTGCAAAGATGAGCAGAAGGACTTTGGGAATACAACTGAAAACAGATATTCTTTTTAGTTCGTAGAAGAGCTGGGTTGGATGTTTTGCAGATGAGAACGGATTGTAACGTTTGCACAGCAGCTGAACTTTGAACTGTTAAGCTCTTCATCTGAGCTGTGGCTCATTGCTCCAGCTCTGCAATACACTGCAATGTTTACCCAGTTTTTACCCATTTTCTTCTTCTTTTCTCAACCTTTTTTATTCCCCTGTTTTTGTTCCTGGCTCGTGTTCACAGGAGTGAGATTACCTGCAGACCAACAGTGATAGGAAGAAAAATCTCAGGCTGAGCTCACGCAGGGCTGAGTACATCTGAAAAGCCAGAATTCACAGGCAGGACACAAATAGGAACTGGTTTCCTCCTCTTGTTCCCCATGTTCCTCCCTAGCAGGGGATGGCTGTCAAGGAGGAGGTGCAGCACATGGGCTTGGGGTCGAGGGGTGAACTTGACCATGGATGCTGTCACAAAAGAGGACTTTGCTTGCCTACCTCACCTGCTACCCCTCCTTTTCAGCAGAAGAGCTGCCAGCCTGGATGAGGAAGCACGGCCTGTTAGCACAGCAGTGTTCTTGGCCCGGCACTGGGTGATGTCTCGTGAATGAGTCAGCTCTCCAGTCGTGCTGGGCGATGTGATGTGGCAGATAAGGCATGATGGATATGAATGCTGAGCTCTGGAGCAGCAGAACTGAGCCTTCTGTGATCCCTGGGGATGCAGAGCTCTGGAGCAGCAGAACTGAGCCTTCTGTGATCCCTGGGGATGCAGTACAATCCAAAGGGACTGACCCACGCTGTGCCTGGGATGAGGGGTGCTCATGGCACAGAGCTGCTCAGTCTGCTCAGCCTTCTACCTGGGTTTCATGGCTCGTGTTGTAGCCCTGTATGTTTATTGCCAGTGCACAAACAATAATTAATTTCTGTTGGACTATTTCCGTGTGCTTATCACTGGCAGCTGAATCACATCTCTCTGAAGCACTGCATGGGGTCTGAATCAGCAGGTCTGAGAATGTCCATTTTGTTGGGGTGGCATGGAGTGCAGAGGACAGAGCCCTCTGACAGCGCGTGTTGCTGCTGTGCTGAACAGTAAGGTTATGCAGCTGCAGTGAAGTGCACGCAGTAATGCAAGTTTTGATAGTTAAAACCCTGATCTTACAGAAACGTGAGAGCAAAATTTGAACATAAAAACCAGCAATAACCAAAGAGGCATTCTTTCAAAGCAGGACATGGGTGATTCCCACCCCGCTGCTCACAGCCTCAGCCGGGCACAGTGAAGTGCTGCTGCTCCTAAGGATGTTTTAGGGAAAGCCTTCAGCGAGTGCTCTTTGAATTTCCCCTTTTGCAGATGAAATTACAGCATTTCCAACTGTGGGCACACATAGGAAGATGTCACCCATCTTCTAATCAGAACGGGCAGCTGGTGCAGGGCTGCGTTCAGGGCTCACACAGACACCCGGCCGGGGGAACGGGGTCGCGTGTCTGCCGGGTACCACAGATCACAGTGGCAGATGGGGACAGACAGCATGGGGGGCCACCGATGTTCCCTGAGGAGGAGCGGCCCTGGGTTCTGCACGGGGGGGGCATCTCTGTGGCCGTGAGGACTTGAAAGCAACGGGAGGGGAGGGAGCTTTGGCGGGGACGGGTTACCGGGGGTAACTGCCTGGGGGCAGCTGGGGGAGCCGGGGTGCTGCGAGCTGGGGGCGGAGGCAGGGGAGCGGCCCCCGGTCCTGCAGCACGGAGCTGCTTTCCGAGCATCGCCTGCTGCTGCTGCTGCAGAGTGGCCGGGGCTGCGGTATCGGCCGCGGTGTCGGCGGAGCTGCGGCTGCCCCGCGGGCCTCCGTGGGAGGCTGCGTCCTGCGGCGCTCCTGCTGATGCGCTGCGGTCCGTGCGGGGCTGAAGGCGCTCGGAGCCCCGCGGGCCGCTCCGTAAATAGACGTCGCAAACAAAAGGCGAGGGCAGAGACGTCGCCTCGGCGAAAGAAAAGGCTGCGGGCAGTCGGCAGGGCTCGCAGGATGCGAAGCGGCAGCCTCCGGAGATCCCGGCGCGAACGGAACAGAAAAGGAAAAAACTGGAAATGAGTCATTTGGTGTACGGGGGGACGGCTTCGCACCGCCGTCAGATCCCGGCAGTGGGTTTTACTCAACAGAGGAAGACGCGGGGTGCGATAACCTCAAACTGCGCCGCGCCAGCGGAGCTCCCGCGTACCCCCGGCCCCGCGTTTTGTGCGGCGGATGGCGCTGCGGGCTCTGCGGTGCTGCGGCTCCGGGCGGGGAGGGGCGCGGAGATGGGGGTCCGGAGTGGGTCAGTGCGGTGCGTGGGGACGGAGAGCCCCGGTCGCGGCCGCGCGGTGGCTGTCGGCTCCGCGCCGGGGCGAACAGCGCCGGCTCTGCCTGCCGCCCCCCGCCGCCGGTGATGCTCGTTGTCTCTTCGAGGCACCGCCTGCGTTCTGGGAAGCCGAACCCAACGCTTCAGCGCGCGTCAGAGCGCAGCTGACCGGAGAGACGGCGCGCTGCATCGGATCGGCCAAAAAATAAATGGCTGTGGACTCCTTCTGCATCGGAATTACGCGGGTCTTTGAGCCCTCCCACCTGGCGCAGCCCCGTGCTAAAGCAGACGGGGCTGACGCAGTCACAGACTGTGATTAATTCACAACGTCTTAAATGTTGAAAAAAAAAAAACAAAAAACTGACTTTCAAAATGGTTGTGAGGTTCTGCAGTGTAAGAGGAATTCCTGTTTGGGTGTTCCGGGTGGGTTCTTGCTGAGCTACGGGAACGAGGATCGTGAGAAGGTGCGTTTCCCACCGTGTGTCCTGACCCCGGGGAGGCATCCAGATGTACTCCCGCGCGTCGGCTCAGTTAAGATCACCCCAACATTGGCCCGAGAGCCGTTTGTTCAACTGGTCTTGAAACGAAGATGGAGACCACAGATCGTGCCTTCCAGATGTTTTGTTGGCAAGGGGCACAGCTCTGCCCTTTTGCTCACATCACACAGACACCCTCCTGGACGCCCAGGAGCTTTTCTCATCCCTTGCAGCTCTCAGCGTCGCTTTTTCCCCCCACACGCCCTCCCCTACGTTGCTCACGGTGCTCGGCCGCCCCGCGGTGCCACGGGCGGAGGGCGGCAGCACGCCGCCCGTCTCTCGGCACGGTGGGTGCCGGGCGCTGCCCTCCCCGTACGCTCCGTTCCTCGACATGCGGCCGCTGCGCCTCGGAGGGCGGCGGTCCCGTTCTGAGGAAGGTCGGGGGAACAGCTCTGTGCAACGATGGGTTCTGCGGGTCTGGGCCCCGAGAAGGGGGGAGATACTGACGTGAGGATCTGAGAGCGGAAGGATGGAGCACAGCCCCGCCGGGAGGGACGCGGGGTACCGGCGGGTGCGCCCGGCGCAGCGCGGCCAGCACGGCGGGCGGGGACGTGCCACTCATCTGCAGCGCTCACGGGGAGCGCTCAGCGCAGGAGAGACGCGGAGATGTCGGAGCGAACAGAAACGCTCCCGGGAACGGGGCCCCCCGTGCGGGGCCGCGCCGAGCGCCGCGGCTGGGAGAAGACAAAAGATCACCGCGGGGGAAGGGAGGGGGGACGGCGGTGACTCCGCAGCCGCGTTACGGGCAGCGCTGCGAGGGCGGCGGCACCGGGGGCGGATTCTCCTCCCGCACCGCCCCGCGCCCCCCCGCGTGCCGCCCCCACCACGTGACCCCCCCGCCGCTCCCAGAGGTCCGCGGGGCCGTTCCGCGCCGCTCCGCCGTTCTGCGCGCATGTGCCGCGCCCGCACTCCCCCCGCGCGGCCGTTCGGAGCGGGGAACGATGAAGGACCGCACCGGGGAGCTGCGCGCCGTGAGTGCGGGGCGGGGGATGCGGGGCGCTCCCGGATGAGGAGATGGGGGGCTGCTCATCGCCGCGTTCGTCCCTCGGTCGGCGCCGGTCCCCGCCGGTCTCCGCGGCCACGGCGGCGGTGCGGGGTCGGGTCGGGTCTTTCCGCGGCCCCCGCGCCCATTTTGCATTTCTGTTCTCCTCGCTCCGCTGATGTCGCGCTGCAGCCCCGCAGCGCGGAGCCGTGCGGGTCCCCGTGCGGGTCCCCGTGCGGGTCCCCGTGCGGGTCCCCGTGCGGGTCCCCGTGCGGGTCCCCGTGCGGGTGTGCGTCCCCGCTGGGAAATGGCTGGTCGGTAACGACAGAGCCGATGCGTGCGGCTGTCCTCCCGGCGGGGCCCGCGCCTACGTCTGCCCGGAGCGGCGCTGGCGGTGCGTGGGGCGTTTGAGCATCTCTCGGTTCCTCTACGTGTTGGGCATGAGGGGGAAAAAAAAAAAAAAGCGAAATAAGAATCTCAGAAGAGATTTCGCCCCTCTCCTGCGGGAGATCCCCGCTCCGTGGCAGCACTGCGTGCCCGCAGGGGCGGTGCGGGGCCGCTGCTGTGCCGCCACACGGTATCGGGGACGGCGGTTCAGCTGTTCCTGTATAGCGCAGGTTACGGTGCGCGGGGATGGGGTGGGATGGGGGAGCCTGGATGAGATGAGGTGGGGTGGGGTGGGATGGAGGAGCCCGGCTGCTCCGTGCCCCTTTGGGCGGCTGTACGCTGCGCTGCGTGCGGTCAGAAACGCGCGGCTGCAGGGTTGCAGGCAGCACTTCGTGCGGCCACCAGCGGTACTGGTGTCTGTAGGTCTTCGGTGACTGTTGATTGTTGGCTTCCAGTGGGGCTGGGAAAGGCCCACCCCGATGGGCTGTCGGGCTGTGCCTCCCGCGAAGCGGGCTCAGCGCCTGTCCCTGCTGGGCTGTGCTGCGGGGAACGCTGCAGACATGCTCTCCTCCGGGCACAGCGGTGAAGTTGACCAAAGTTGTTTTTTGTAACAGAGCCCTGTGCCCCTGTTCTCCATGTGAGCATCTTTGTGGTCCACGGCGCCAACTCTTGGTATGCAGAAGGCACCGTTAACCCGGGCAATAGATCGATTTACTCTTTTCACTGCAGGATTCCTTTCGTTTTATAACTGTCCTGGCGACGTGCCGTGCTTTCATGCTGTCCTCTCCAACCTGAAGGGTGGTGTTAGTTGTTCAGCCCTGCTCCTGCTGCCTGCGTGGGCACCAGGACTGTTGTATGGGAGCAAGATGGTGGGGGGGCAGTGGGGGAACAGCTGTGCTCTGCAGGCAGCATGCTGCTCAGCGAGGTATCACTGCGTGGCCACGCTGCGTCCCCGCTGAGCTGCTGTGCTGGGGGGCTGCAGCACGCCGTGTCCCCTGGTGTGCGGTGGAGGCTCAGCCTGGCCCTTGCTTCAATTGTGAGCGTCTTTGCCTTTGTGCGAGCTGCTCGGAAGCTGTACAAATGTTTGTTTTGCCGTGTATCTCCCTGCTAACAAGATTGCTCAGGAAATATGCAAAATGATCACTACGGGCAGAATACGTACAGTAAGGCTCATTAAGCTAAGCACTGTGATAAATTGCTACTTCCAGAAAATTATGTGTGCTAACAAAAAGGAGGAGGGAAGCGCCAGCGCCGGCCCCAGCAGCTGCAGTGGGCACAGACAGCCATGGAGTCAGCGTCAGAGCAAAGCCACGGAGAGCAGACAGCAAACGGAGCGGTGTGGCTCAGGAAAGAGAAACAAAGCCGTGTGCTGTAAATAACAGCCCAGGCATTGGGCCAAGGAGAGCGTTGGTACAGAAACATGGCGAGAGCCATCTCTGGAGCAGGAGGGATGGAAGGACTGCAGAGCTGCTGTGGGGAGGGCAGCTGTTCAAGGTGGAGCAGAGCTCGCAGAGTGGCTGAGGTTGGTGGAGATCTGTGCGTCATGGAGTCACAGTATGGTTGGGTTGGAAGGGGCTTCACTGCCCAACAACCCCCCCTACCAGCCCCCCCACCATGGGCTGGGTACCCCCAGCTCAGGCTGCCCAGAGCCCATCCATGGCCTGGGGTACCTCCAGGGATGGGGCACCCACAGCTCTGGGCAGCAATGCAGCACCTCACTGCCCTCAGTGAAGAATTTCTTCCTCACATCTAACCTAAATCTCTCCTCTTTTAATATGAAATCTCTTGTCATGTAACTACTCAGCTGTCCTGTATGCCCTGTTAGGTGCTGGAAGGCTGCAGTGAGCTCTCCTCTCTTCTCCAGTCAGAACACCCCCAGCTCCTCGGCCCGGCTCCACAGCAGAGGTGCCCCAGCCCTCTGAGCACCTCGTGCCCTCCTCTGGACCCGCTCCAACAGCCCCACGTCTTTCTCGTGCTGGGGGCCCCGGGCCTGGACGCAGGACTCCAGGTGGGGCCTCACGAGGGCAGAGCAGAGGGGGACAGTCCCCTCCCAGCCTGCTGCCACCCCTCTGCCGATGCAGCCCAGGCTGCTGGCGGCTTTCCGGGCTGCACGCTGCTGGCTCAGGTCAGCTTTCCCTGCTCTAGAACCCCAAGTCCTTTCTGCAGGGCTGCCCTCAAGGAGTTCTTCCCCCCTTCTGAACACATACCTGCCATTGCCCCTGCCCCAGGGCAGTACCGTGCACTTGGCCTTGTCAAACCTCACATGGTTAATGGGGGCCCACTTCTCAATGTTGGGTGGCCCATGCAGGGACACCCACAGTGGGTGCCCAAGCACACGTGCAGGCAGCTTTTGACCACCTCAACAGAGGAGACTCCAAACCTCTCAGGTTCCTCTGCCCACACAGCCCCCTGATGGTGTGGGGAACCTCCTGGTCTGCATTTTGCTCCCATCCTGGCACTGGCAGTTTCCCATCCTACAGCGCTTCTGCTGCAATGTCTGTTACAAATTCTTTAGCATTAAGCCTTCCTTTTGTCTTCCATTGCTTTCAGATCTTCCAGTGGGACCTGTCAGACGTGCAGCATGCGATGCACAAAACAAATGTTCATTTTGCCAGGAGACATTTCAGCTCTGCCTTCTGGGAGGGCTGATGTCTCTTGTGGAGGGTGCTGTTTCCTTTACAATCTAGATGAGAGCACCCAAGAAATTTCATCACTGTGTTTATAGCCAGCAAAGTCTGATGGGAGGGATGTGGGTGTTGCAAGCTGCATTGATTTTCATGTCTTTCCCAGAGAAGTGAGTTGTGGGAGAAAGGGGGGGGGGGAAGCTTTCAATTTCTCAGAGTAAATCTGGGTTCATAGAATCATAGAATGGCCTGGGTTGAGAAGGACCACAATGACCATCTTGTTCCAACCCCCTGCTGTGTGCAGGTCGCCAACCACCAGCCCAGGCTGCCCAGAGCCACATCCAGCCTGGCCTGAATGCCTGCAGGAGTGTGTTTGAGGGAGGATGAGCAGGGAGGGTCCCTTGGTGGAGGCATGTGGGGCAGAGCTGCTCTGAGCTGCAGCCCTGCCTGAGCCCTGCCTGCACAGAGGGACGGAGAGCACCTTCATGCCATGCTGAGCCCCTGCTCTGAGCTGTTTGTACCCATAGTGTGTCATTGAGGAATCCTTGAAGGCTTTGTGGTATCATGGATGCACTTCAGCAGCCAGGTGGGATGGAGCGTATCTCCTTCCAGAAGGGCTCTTAGGAGTTGGCCAGAGCTCTGACAGAGCTGTCGGGCTTCATGCCAGAGGTTGGTAACATAATTCTGCAGTGATGAAAATAAACACCTAAGGACAAAACTCTTGGAAATCTTGTTCTCCGTTGTGCTGCTGGTGTTGGAAATTGGAAACACATGATGACTCATGCGGGAGTGATAGTTGGTTTTGCCTTCAACTTTTATTCATTGAACGTTGCTGGTCCAAAATGCAAGCTGGTTGCAATAACGCTGGAATTGGACACAACAGAAGGGTCCTGTGGGAGCTGCCTGGTGTGGGTGCCAAGCTGCTCTCCATCACATTTGAAATATCGTGACTGTCAGGCTGAAGTTCCTGAGGACTGGAAAAAGGGAAACATTGCTGCCGTATTCCCATATGGGGAACTGCAGGCCTGTGAGTCTCAGCTCTGTGCCTGGCAAGACCTTAAGGAGACCTTAAGGCAGAGGGGAGACGAGGTGACCGCAGGCAGCTGGCACAGCCTCAGCAAGGGCAGAGCACGGCTGGCCCTCCTGGTGGCCTTCAGTGATGGAGTAATGGCCTTGGTGGGCAAAGGGAGGGCGGCCGATGTCACCTACCTGGACTTGTGCAAAGCCTTTGACGTGGTGTCCTTGGAGGTGTTCAAGGCCAGGTTGATGGGGCGCTGGGCAGCCTGGCTTAGCATTAAACGTGGAGGTTGGTGGCCCTGCATGTGGCAGGGGGGTTGGAGATTCATGATCCTTGAGGTCCCTTCCAACCCTGGCCATTCTGTGATTCTGTGGTGCTCCACCACATCCTTATCTCCAAGTTGGAGAGATCCGGGTCTGAGGGGCGGGATGTTTGGTGGGTAAGGAATTGGTTGGAAGGTCACAGCTGGAGGGCTGTGGTCAATGACTGCACCAGGTGGAGGCAGGGATGAGTGCTGTCCCACAGGCTGCTCTGTGGGACCCGTACTCTTCAACAGCGTTATCAGGGACGTGGATGATGGGATTCAGTGCACCCTCAGACACCGAGCCGAGTGGTGCAGCGGATGCAGCAGAAGGAAGGGACGGCATCCAGATGGACATGGACAGCAGGCCATGGGAACCACCTGAGGCTCAACAATTTTCAACAATCAATCAGACGTGAGGGGAAATTCTTCACTCAGAGGGCAGTGAGGCGCTGCGCTGCTGCCCAGAGCTGTGGGTGCCCCATCCCTGGAGGTGCCCCAGGCCATGATGGGCCCTGGGCAGCCCGAGCTGGGGACACCCAGCCCATGCAGGGATGGGGCTGGATGGTCTTTAGGGTCCGCTCCAACCTGAGCCTTTCTGTGATAAATAAATGATGGTCTATGTGCTGTAAAATATCTAGGGCTGTGCAATACTCCATTTATTATGCTTCCTAGCTGTACTGTATATATGTAGTTGCAAAAATTTTGGAGCCCATTTGATAGCACGAGCCGTGGTCTTGAGTGACACTCTCTGGAAACCATCCTCAGCTTTGGCAGCACCTCCTGAATTGCTCCTGGCAGCACTTCTCCCTCTGGACTCCTGAAGCTCACTCGGGCTGTGGCTGTAAGGCACAAAGGGTCAGCAGAGCCCCCCAGGAGGAGGTGGTTGGTCGGTGGCAGGGGAACTCAGAACCATGTTCATATGAAGCAGAGCTTCGGTGACCTGCCCTTGTGCTCCTGAGCATGGCAGAGCTGTGTGCAGCCAGGCTGGGATGTGGCCTGGTGTCTGTGCGTTGGTGCTGGTAGGCTTTTAAGATGGCTGAGTGGAGATTTTTCTTGCAGTTCATCACTGAATTATTCTGACCTCATCCATCTTCACAGCGACGTGCAAGGCAAGGAGCTGGAGCTGCACAGCCAGTGAAGGATGGCAGGAGCTCTGTGGCTGCTGAGGGATTCTGGGGGCTCCTGGGCTGGAGGCAGGAAGAGCCAAGTGGTGTTTGGACATGTGTGTGCAGCTCAGCAGACTGTACTGCAGAGGTGTCCGTTCAGTGAGAACAGGTTCACCACGGAAGGGATGATGGAGAGCAGCAGCCTGCACTTCTGAGGGAAATGTTAATTTAATGGTCTTTTAAAGGGGGTAGCAGCTGTTGTGGCCTTTTTCTGACCTTCTGTGCTTCCGTGAAGCTTGCGTTTCCTCCCTTGGTGACGCGGGGTGGCACGTGCTGCTGGTCCTGCGGCCGTGCTGACATGGGGTGGCTGCGGGCTCCGGCTGCGTGCTGCCCGCTACAGGCCTTGCCTAGCAAGGGTTGTCTTGCAGGGCTGGGCAGCTGGCAGGGGTTTGTGCCATCCCCTGGGCTGCTGAGCGCGCCGTGCCCTTGTGAGGTTCCGCTGCTGGCTCCTCAGATGCATCCGGATGCGGTCAAATCGATCCGCAGCGCACACGGCACAGAGCAGGGGATGAGCTTGCATGTGGCTGCTGCAGAGATAATAGAGACCTCGTTACCATCATGTCACAGCTCTCCCTGCCTGGGGCCTCTTGGTTTTCAGTGTGGAGCAGCAGGCTTGCAGCCTTTTCATTGGGGTTTGTGCTTCACTGCTGTCTTTCAGAAATGAGGCTTGGCTGAAGCAGAGGGATGTAATCTGCTCACTTATGAATGTATTAGCAGTGTGCCTGTTACCAAATGCTGGGAGCTGGGAAGCACGGGGTGCTGGGCATCCTCCCCAGCCCTGCTGTGCCTTGTGGTGCAGCTCTGTCTCCTGTGCCAGCTGCTTCCTGCGTGGTGCTGGGGCTGTTGGGGTGACAAGCTGACCTCACTTGGATCTAGACCAGAGCTTCACAGGTGTCTGGCCACCTCTTTGGGAACTTGGGGTGGCCGCACCGGGACATCTTGTGCAGCAGCTCCTGGTGAGAACCCCACATGCTGTCCCTTGGGTCGATGCTTAGGTTTCCATGGGGAAGTTTGCTCAGATTCGTGTCTGCTTTGGCAGCGGTGTGAGGGAAGCTGCTTCGGCCCTGGGGTGATGGCACCTGCAGTGCAATGCTGTGGGAGTGAAACAGGGCGAGGGGTGAGCTGTGCCGGGGATCGCTGCGAGCTGAGGTGTGCTCTGCCCACCTGAGGACAGCTCTGTCCTTAGCGAGTCCTGCTGAGCCCCACAGGTATCCGGGGGCCGCTGCTGCTCCTTGCCTGTCCCTGGGGCCGGGCAGTCAGCTGGGCGCTGCGTGCTGGACGTGGCACGGCACAGAGGGTGCTTGCAGTGACGCGGCTGGGACAGATGGTGCCCTTATGGAGCCTGCAGTGACTTTGTGGGAGTGAAATGTGCCCTCCCCGCCATCAGGCTCCATCCGTGTAATTTCCTCTTCCCAGCCGGGCTCTTGTGTCGCTTTCCCTGCACGCAGCAGGGCGGCACCGCTCAGTGCCTGCCCTAAATAACAGCACGCTGTGGGAGGGGATGACAGAAAGGAGCATAGGAGGACCTTATGACCTCTGGTGCTGTTCGGGGTCGCACCAGCACAAGGAAGACAGAAGAGGTGCTCGCTGCATGTGCTCAGCTGCAGATCTCCTAACAAAATGTCCCCTGCTCTGTGCAGGACTGGGGGGTACCAGGCGGCTGCTGCTGGGCGCGGGGTTTCCCGGCTGTGCTGCAGTGCCGTCTGTCTTAATTAGTGGCAGACGGTTGATGCTGAAAACGAAGCACAGCGCAAATGAAGTGGGATTTGTGGTCACGTGTAAAGCAAAATGCAAACGTGGATCCTAGAGCATTTTGCTGGCTTTGGAAGATGATGCTGTAACTTCTCCCGTACTGCACTGCTGGGCTGGCTTCTGGAGCCTTCTTCATCATCCCGGGGCTTGCCGTGTGGCGCCATGGGGAATTCAGACCAGTGGGGGAGGAGGAGGGCAGATGGTGAATTCTGGGCTTCCAGAAACCAAATTGTGGGTGGGCTGAGCTTGGGAGGAACCTCTGGAACCTTTGGTCTCACTCTGCCACCCAGGGTGGGTTGCCCCACACCATGTCCAGATGGCTTTTAAGCATTTCCAAGGAGGGAAATCTGTGGCCTCTCTGGGCGGCCTGTGCTGGTGCTTGGTCACACACACAGCATTCATCGTGTTCTGAGAAACCTCCTGTATTCCAGTGCCTCTCATTCTGGCCCTGGGTGCCGCTGACAAGAGCCTGGCTGTGTTCTCTTTGCACCTTCCCTTCAGGTACTGACAGACACTGATGAGATCCCTCTGCGTCTCCTCCAGCCTAAGCAGCCCCAGCTCTCCACCTCTCCCCATAACATGATGTTCCGGACCCTGAATTATCCTTGCGGCCCTTCACGGGTCTCTCCCCAGTGGCTCCAGGACTCTCTTGTGCCAAGGATGGAGATCTGGATCCAGGACCCCCATGTTGAGCAGAGGGGAAGGGTGACCTCCCTTGGCTGGTGGGCACTGCTTGGTCTGATGCAGCCCAGGATGCCATCAGCCTTCCTTCTGGGAGGGCACATCACTGCCTCACGGTCAGCTGCGGGCCAGCTGAGCACCTCTCCTCATTGTCTGCTCTGTCCTTTGGAGGGGGATGTTACCATCAAGGCACCCCAGCATGCAGGGTTCCTAGAAGGGGTTTGTGATAATCTCTGTGGCAGTGCTGTGTAGGCACTTCCTTGCTTACCTACAGGTGCTGGAGGTGACTGTACTTAACTTTAAAAACTCCCATTTTGTTGATCCTGTGATCCCTCCATCACATGGTCTCATCCCTCCTGCACAGGGCTGCTGGTTACTCCTCCCTGCAGTTCTTAGTGCCTTCCTTATGAGGTCAGGCACTGCATCCTCCTGGCAAAAAGTGTCTTTTCCTTGGTTTGCCAGGTGGGTCCCATCTCTCTGAGTGGATTCTGATCCTCGTCACAGAACATCAAACCTTGCTGCCAACAGCAGATCTGCAGCCCAGCATTGAATCATGCTCTGCACGTATCCTGCTCCACACAGACAGGGCTGGGGACAACATCTGGTCTGTGCCCCACAGCTCTGTCATCCTTTCTGATGCTGGACACCCTTCTTTGTGCCCACGGATGGATCTGGGCAGCAGTACTGCTCTTTGTACCCATTGGGGGCAGTCTGTCACTTGCACCTTAGTGCTCTTGGATATCTTTGGATACTGCTTTCATGGCTACCAAAGCAAATGGTGCCATGAGCAGTGGCTAGAATAGAAAGCTGGGGTCTGCTCTAGAGGGCTCCACCGAACCCAGCCATCCTAAGTTGAAGAAACAGTTTTCAGACAGAAAAAGCTGGCTGTCACCTGGCATATTTCAGCGTGAGAGGAATTCTGTAGATCCCTGCTGTCTGTATCGGCCAGCTGTGTGCATGTGTGAGTGGAGTGCAGGGCAGTGAGCTGCTGCGTGGCAGCGTGCAACGTGTGTGGCAATAATTAGATGAACAAAGACAGTCCTCACTGCTAAATCTTCCCCATACCTCTTGCTGCTTCAGACAGAGTATGAAGAAACTTTTCTACCCCATTACTTTTCCATTTCCCTCTGTCATCTATCTTCTTTGGATGACGTCTTTTAAATGCCTCCATATACAGAGGACATGAAGACTGTCATTTTTCTTCCCGCTGCGAGTTTGTGTTCCCCGCCTTGCTGGGACACGAGGTGACGGTGACACACACGTGTTACTGCAGAGAGGGACTCCCCCCCTCCTTTACCTGCTGAGCTTTTTCCAGTTTGGATGTATTTTCTGTTCTGTCCCACCTTTCCCACGCTCCGTAACATGCGCCCTGTTGTCCCATTCCTGTTGTTGCAGAGCTGAGGGCAGCTCAACGAGCACATGCAGTTCTCCCATCAGGTGTGTGTGGCTGTCGTGAGCCTCCTACACTCACCACAGCAGGCTGAGGGCTGGCACGGCCTGCTGCACAGTGATGCTTGTCGTGTCTTTATTGCTGGAGCCGGATGCCATCTGGTCTCTGGAGCTGCCCGTGGTGCAGCAGTGCTGTCCCAGCTGCTGGGAGCTGCTGAGGGAAGGGGCGAGCGGTGGTGCGCCAAGGGGAGCTCCTGGGTGGGTCTGTCTGTTTGCAAAGAACTCGTTGATCCTTCTCTCTGTCTTTTGCAGGCGAAGGACAGTGATGACGATGACGAAGTCACCGTCAGTGTGGACAGGGACCGCTTCATGGACGAGTTCTTTGAACAGGTGAGAGCTCTCGTCTGTCATGCGGGTTCCCAGGCGGGCGGTCCAGTTGGGGTTGGATGTCCTGCCCTGACTGATGCTGCTCTGCTGCTGCTCGGCTTCCAGGTCCCCGGGCTTCGCCGAGCGCTGAATAGCGGCTGCCACGCTGGTCTTCCCTGATCCCAGGGCTGCTCCTGTAGAAAGCAGTGGGGCGACTGAGCCAGCTGACTGCTCAGTGGGAGCATGGGAGGCTGTGGACACAGGCTGCCATGTAGGAGGCTTTCTTGCTGCAGCATGCATGCCATCACAGCAGACAGGCTCTAACGTGTCTCCTGAAGGCACCTCTGCAGAGTAGCACTTTCTGCATGGGACTGATTTAATTTTGTGCCTCTCGTTACCAAACAAGAGGCTGTCTTATGGCATGTGGGTGGCAGTGAGATATGCACGCGGTTTTTTAGCCTACCCTTAGCATGGCATGTGTGTAGGGGGTGTAGAAATGTATCTGTGCAGGCAATGGAGTGTGGAATGAAAAATCTGACATGCGGTTGAATGAAGATGAGCAAAGCGGTGGTGTGAGTTGAAGAAGACAGAGCTGAGTGTGTGCAGGCAGAGGGCACAAGTAGAGGTTCCCAGTCTCGAGGTTGCTGGCTTGCTTCCTCATTTCCTTGAGGTGCAGGGAAGATGCCAGCATGGAGAAACTTCATCTCATTTGGCCTTGCTGCCACCACGAGTGAGGGACAAAGAGGAGTCCTCAGCCCTTGGAGCAGAGGCTGGGGTCTGAGCCAGAGCTGGGCAGTGCTGGTACAACCGGAGCCACTGCTTCATGTCAGAGCTGTGGAGTCTGGAAATTCATAGATCTGATGCTCATTTAAACAGGTCTCCAGTGTTTCTCAGTTTATCACAAGGCATGCAGGGCCCAGAGCTTATACTGCTTTGCTCTGACTGCAGAGCTGGTTGCTGTGATATGGAAAGCTTGATTTCATGGCAGCCCTGCAGTGTGAAAATTCACTGCAAAACGCTGGCCCAGGAAAACCTTTGTTAAAGGTCAGATGTGCCAAGGATGCCTTTCAGTAGCTTCTCACGGTAGTCTTGTGTTCTTTTCTGTTGCCACAGGTGGAAGAAATACGAGGGTTCATCGATAAAATCTCAGAGAACGTGGAGGAAGTGAAGAGGAAGCATAGTGCCATTCTTGCTTCACCCAACCCTGATGAGAGTGAGTGGGCCGGGAGCTGCTCATGTCCCTGCTGGCCGTGGGGCTGCTCCTAGGCTGGGCAGATGGGTGGAAGTCTCCTTGTCCTCAGGCAGTGGTTGCTGGAAAACTCCATTCCTGAGGTGGCTGATGGTTGTGGGGGTCTCACATGGGTGGGCAGCGCAGCTCCACCATGCTGCTCTCTCACTTCCTCAAAAGCCTGGGGGAGAGAACATGAAAACAAATTGAGATAAAGAGAGGGAGATCACTAACAGCTACCGTTGCGGGCAATACAGGCCCAGCATGAGGGAGGCTATTGCCTGTTACGCACAGTGACAGTGCTGTCACTGACTACCACTTGTCCTCCCCCTGCCTTCGCCTCCCTTCCCCTCTGAACAGCACAGCAGAGCGGTGCTGTGCTCAGCCCCTATTGTTCTGTCTCTGCTGCTCCCCCGCTGCCTCTGCTCCATGTGGGCTCCTTCACATCTGCACGGGGAGATCTGCTCTGCCTGGTGCCCGTGGGCTGCATGGGGACAGCCTGCTCCTCACCCTGCTGGGGGCCAGGAACCTTGCTTTGTGAACCCAGTACAGTGGTCCATGTGAGAGAAGGATGAGACCTACACAGAAAAGAGAAAGGAAAGACTCCTGCTGGCTTTCTGACCTTGAGAGAGAGAGGGTGAGGTTTCAGAGAGGCTGGTGGAGAATTCCTGAAGGACAGGGCAGCATAGAGGCTGAAAATAGCAGTGGCAGTTTTGAGGCTGGGTGGCTTGCTTTCTTGCTCTGCCCAGTCCAAGTGCTTGTTCAGCACCTCCGTTTGTATCTGTTACACCAACTGCAGGCAGAACAGGCACAGCCCGTGCTGACTCGGCATCAGGAGCCAATGGTACAGCCCTGTGAGCCTGCAGGTGTGCACTGTCCCCACCGTCCTTCAGGATGTCTCATTGCTGACTTGAAGCTGTCCCAGGTGCAGGCTGTGCCCTGGCTGCCAGCTGAGGTGCTGGGGCAGTCACTGGAGGTATTGATGAGGGCAGCTGGTGTTCTCAGCACGGGGACTTTCCAGTTGCAGAGAGGAGCACCATGTCTCAGGCTGCTGTTTGCTGTTCTCTAGGCTCAGTTGCTCCGTGCTTGCAGTGTAGGATTTAGCAGTGTTTCTGTTTGGGTGTTGTTAGGAAGGAGCTGTTGCTGCTTTGCTTCCCGCTGCCGGGCACACACAGCATGCAGCAGCCTGCTCAGCGCTGAGCCACCGCTCCAGCTGCAAAGGGCACTCATGGCCTCGAAGTATGATCTATTTAAAAGTCTGAGATCTGCAGCGAACGAGATACTGTGACATTGGTATGACTTCTAGAAGCAGGAACATTGGGAGTGCTTCTGGTTTTGTTTTACAAAATTACCTTGTCTTGGTGTTGCAGAAAATTCAGCTAATGATGCCAGAAACCATTTGGGCATCGCAGAGGAGCCTCTGCATTGTTAAGTAATCCATGTTTTGTAACACTGTCGTGCATGGAGAAGGTGCAGTGGGGCTGGCCAGGTGCTCAGTGGTAGGTAGCAAACCAAGAAGCAGCGGCAGATCAAAAAGAGCTGGAGCTCAGCCCTGCATTTTGGTTGGTATTTTAGGAGTTGAACCCTCGGGAGCATTGCCTCAGTGCTTCAGCGTCTTGTAAGACCTCCATTGCAAAGGTGGTGGGAAGTGATTCCTCTGAGTTTCAGAAAAAAAAGGATACAGACTTGTAATTGCTGTCTGGAGGCAGCTGTGCTGCTGGTGGTGCTGCCTGGCTTGGTGTGTGGTTTAGCTCCTGCACGAGGAGGTGCAGAACAGCACAGGGAAGCACACGCTGGAGCTGCGCAGCCTTGGGGCAGGGCTTCGGAAGTGGGAGCAGAGCTGGGCTGTTCAACTGGGAAACGGATCAGCGGTGGTTAGAGATGCTGCTGGAGCACCAAGAGGATGGATGGATGGATGGATGGATGCACAGTGGCTGAGTTGTTCTCAGGGCATCTAACAGAGGAGAGGCTTTGCAGGAACAGTCCTGCCGGAGCCTGCCTTGTGGATGGCCGTGCTCAGGCAGGCACAGGTACTGCCCCTGTGAAGTGGAGGGGTCAGGGCTCAGTGTGACACCTGCTGTGCCTGCCTGCGTGCTGCCAGGCTGCACTCGTGTCATCGCACTCCTCTCCTCCCTCCCCTGGTCTCTTCTGGCTGCACAGACTGTTCTCGGATCTGTGTGCCGCTGCCGCCTGTGCTTATTTTGGTGCCCTGTGGGTGGGCATCTGCCTCACTTTGCCATCGTGCCAGTGAGGTGGGGGGACGGCAGCACCTTCCTGCTGAGCAGCTCTGCGCCTGCTGCAGCTCCACCTGCAGGCGTGGGCACCGGGGCTGTGTGCCTGCACAGAGGGGCTGCTGCTGCTCCTCTGGGTCAAATAAATTCCTGCTAGATCTGTTCTTAAAATCTTTCCTGGTGAGCTGCTGCGTCTGCTGCCCCTCGTGGTGCTTGAAGCAGGCCATTAGCCTGTGGTGCTTAGGCTGGGCTGGTTCCCAGAAGAGGTGGCTTTGAATGTTAAGACACCTCTCGGAGAGGGATTAAATGATGTTTTGCTGGAGCTGTCGGGAGGGACTTCTGTGCCATTCATCTTCTTGGCACACAGCTTTCCTCCCCGCTTCCATGCCCGTGGTTCCTTGGTGCTGAGTTATATAAGAGATGCTGTTTGGTGAATGAGTTGCCTCCGGGAATATAAATCTTCAATCTGAAGTCGTGTCTTTCAGCCTGTCAGCTCAGCCCCTCTCTGCAGGCTTCAGAAGACCCAACAGATATCTCAAACCTCGCAATGGGTCCATTATTGCTCTGCAGTGAGGCAGAATTTCCTCTGGTGCAGCTCCCAGGTCTTTGCACGGCTTTGTGCTGCAGGAGGTGCGAGTTATCTGGGGAGAGGTCTCATGTTCCTAACAGAACATCTGATGGCAGAGAGCTGTTCCAGGTGGTCGAGGAGGCAAATCGTAGCTGCTGGGCTGTGTGTGACATGTGGAAGCAAAGCTGTCTGCTGCTAAGAAGGCGATTTTGGGTCATCTCAATGCTCAGCGCTGGCCGTGCACCTCTGAGGGGTCTGTGTGCTTTCACTGGCGGTAACCTTGCTGCTCGCCAGGTCCTTTGGCAGTGTGTTACAGCTGGCAGCCTGCTCTCCAAGCATTGGGGCAGAGCACAGGCCCAGCCCAGCGTTGTGCCACGCCGTGAGCGCCCGCCATGTGCTGAGGATGGACAGGGCTGTGCCCAGGGCTGCTCCTGGCTCGCTGCATCACGCCTCTGTCTCACACCGAGATGCTTTCCATCACCTTTTGTGCATTCCTGTGTTTCTCCAACTCCAGCTTGAAGTAGTTTTGTTTCTTGTCCCAGTAATTCCTGTTGAAGGGCCGCTCCAGGACTTAACCTCCAGTGGTCAGGATGCATCTTCTCATTTCCAGCCCGAGTCTATTTATGATCAATTTAAATACCGACGTCATTGCAAGAACAAATATATTTAGCTTAAATAGCTCTTTGCCCTTCTGGCTTCATCCTGTCGGTTCCATGCAGCAGTCTGTTCATTCTGGGAGGACTTTACACAATCTCTGCCCTTTCCCATCCCCTGCCTCCTGCCCCCCCCAATGGCTGGGGGCTGCTCTTGCCCCGTGGAGCTGTTTGCCGTAGCAGAGCTGTATCCCTGTTTTACCTGGATGTCCGTGTGCTCAGCCCTCAGCTCCTGCAGCTTTCTGTGGTGTGCCAGTTTCCCCTTTCCCCATGCAGCTGTGCTTTGCTTCTGTCCCAGTGGTGTGCCATGTGCTGGACCAGCTCAGATTCTCCTTCAGCATGCAGCCCCTTGCATGCCCAGGTTTGTGGTCTCCGTTTTCTGCTCCATCATCCTGAGTGCTGCTGGGTGATCTGCCACACTGAGTGAACGCAGAGTAAATAGCAATTAACTGCAGTCTGATTCATTGGCAACATAAAAAAAAGAAACAAAAACAACAACAAAAAACAAACAACCAACAAACCCAAACCAATTGTCTGCTCTGTGATTATTTTGGGCTTAATTTAGACCAAACAGTGGTCCTTTTGGAAGATGTGTGTGTGGCCTTTGCAGAGCTGCCCCTGGGTGGGTCTGCATCCCACAGCGTGCCGTGCTGTGGGTTGGGATGGGATGGCAGCAGGTGATCCCTCCAGCAGACAGCATCCAGACGCAGCAGCACACGCTCCGCAGCTGTACCTCAGCTTTCTCTCACTAAATCTCCTTTGTCTTGGTGTTGACAGACAGGGATAATCCGTTATTTGCCAAAATGAGTTTAGTGAGGCTGAGATGAGCAAGCTGTAAATCCTGTTACCGGGGTTTACGTGGGCACTGCTGCACATTGCAGGGCTGGGGGCCCTGAGCTTTCCAGGCACGCCGAGAGCAGGAATGCAGGCTGTGGCCACGGCTAGGACTGGGGACCCTGCGGTCACCCACAGCCTGCAGGGGGTTACAAGAACTGGCTTTGCAGAGCTATAACTGTGTGCATACTGGACTGTGGGACGATGGATTGGAAACAGCTGGTGGGGATTTACTGATGAAAACCCATCTGGGATGGGGTGGCTGGAGAAATAGGTGCTGTGTTTCAGATGAGAAGGAGTTGTGGATTGAAGTGGAAATTTCAGGCAAGTGGTGTAGGAGGGAGCGGGGGGATGGAGAAGGACATCGGAGTGCTGAAGGGGTTGGGAAGCATGGAGAAACCCTAGGAATTCTCAAATCGCCATTTAGAGCAATTTTCTTCTGATGCACCGGCAGCAAGAAAGGTTCCATCCCTTGCAGTAACTGGGAGAAGCGCTCCGTTTCTGTGCATGGCGTGGGGGAAAGCCGGGTGACGCGTCGGTGGGAGCCCAACCTGAGCCGTTCGGTGATCCGGCAGCTCCCAAGCAGTGCAAGGAGGCTCCCAGCTCCCCTCCCTCCGGGTGACGGCACGGACGGCGCAATCCATGCGGCGTCGGCCAGGAGCGGCTCCCGTTGCCCCCTGCTCCCCCTCGGCGCTCTGC